ATATATATATATATATATATATATATATATATATATATATATATATAGTTTAATTTGATCATTTTAATAATCTGTATTCTTTTTAATTTACCAGAAACTTCAAAATAAATTCTCACCCTGTACTGGAACCTGTTTCCAATGTATAACCACCGCCAGCTGGTGAGGCGCGTGACATCAATTTGAACCCTGCCCACTGGAACCAGTACTGAAAGGGGCTATGGAAACGCAACGTGAACCGAGTCGAGTTGAACCGAGCTGAAGAGGAGCTGTGAAAAATGCTCATATGTGTCCCTGTGATGGACTTGTGATGTGTCCAGGCCTCTCCCAGTGACTGCTTAACATAGAAACCAGTGATCCCCGTGAGAAAGTAAGAAGAGAGTAAAGATTATGGATAAATGTTGCAAGAAACAAATAATGGAACCTGTTATGATTTCTAACTAAATGTATTCAGTTGAAGATGTGGCTTCAGAACAATTGTTGGACTTCATACATCATATTGGAGTTCCTTTGTTCAGCCACAACTTGTAAAATATCTAGTTTTCCATAATGTGGATTTGTTCTGTTAATCTTAATTTCAACATTTGTGTGACAGTTCTGTATGTATAAATCTTTCTGGAAAAAAACAAAAAAAACAAAACAAGAAAATCCTCAGTTTGCATAAAATAATTAGAATAAGTGTTAGAAATGAATCCAGTGCATGTTTTCTCTAATTAAACATGTTCAGACTTCTGAAGAGGTGCTGATTTATCTGCTGAGAACGTAAAAAATCTCAACATTTCTTAATTTATAAAACCTCTTCTAGTCTCTCAACACTGAATTTGTGTGAGGGCCAAATTTCAGAGAGGGGAAACATCTTGATTAATGTTATAGATTTATTTAACTCAATCCACTCAAACATTGGCAGAAAGCTATTATTTGTAATTTATTAAAGTTTATATCTTAGATAACATCTTACCAGGAGACAAATGTATCTGTTTAAATGAGCTAAAGTCCCACTGATGCAAACAACCATGAGACACTTTTCTCCATGGTGTTTGAGTTTTGTTACAGATGGATTAATTAGGGAATTATAATTTTGTTATTGCTTCTATTAACTGATCTATAGAAACTCATTCATAAATAACGATACATTTTCATCTGGCAAGTGATCAAAACAAGAACTAAAAAAACCAAACGCCCTCTTTTCTTAATTACTGAGAAAAACAGGTTCACATTGATGGTTCAAGCTTTACAAAAGAACTGCAGAGCTTCTTAAGCAATAACTCATTTGTCTGCTAATTATTTTAGAGACACTCTGACATTCAGATAAATATTTCACCTCTTGGCAGGAGACTCGGGCAAAGATTGGTTCAGTACCACAGGCATGTTTCTACAGAAAATGTGAGCCGCAGCCAACTAACAGACAAGAAAAACAGATTCTTCTTTGTGGAAACGTTTCATCTTTTATCTAAAAAACTTCTTCAGTCTGAGGAGCTGCAATAAACTTAGTCTTATAAATAGCACCTTCTCATAGTGGATCAACCAGTTTGTTGCTGACAGACAAAACTAATTGTTCACATGCACGAGGAGGACCATCAGCCTAATGGCCGACTGTCAGTGCTCTGATGGCCACTTTCTATTCACAGAGGGCTGAGTGGTACCAGATTGTAAGAGGGGGATAGTTGGACACTGATGCCTGCATCCCTGTTTAATGATGGGCGGTTTCTCTTCACAAAGATGGCCTCCTTTACTCCTCTCTCAAACCATCGTTCCTCCCTATCAAGGACATGATCATCTTCTGGTCTGGAGATGAGTGTAGACCGCAGGGTCCTGGTGTTCTGCAGTCCTGATGTTCTTCTGTGCTGGACCATCCTTTCGGCCAGTGGCTACTTTGGACACTTTGCCACTGTCTCAACTCTCATCAGTTCTGCACCACACTGCACCAGTTAAAGGGCCTGCCCACTGCCTGTACCCACCCCTACTCAGCTTGATTTATGGGACCACCTTGTTTGTGGTTCCAAGAGGACTCCTCTGAGGTGACGTTTTTGATGCAAGCAGACAGCAGCCGTTGACTGGTCAGCAGAGTTGTGTCACCAGATGACTCACCCAGCAAAACTGCAAAGTACATCTGATCCTCCACTTCCTCTCTGATTGTGTTGACGGACAGCGCCACAAGAAATGAGCACATATTGGAGCAATATTGGAGATAATGGCGCAGCATGGCTACACCTGGATTTATAAGCAGTTCCAGGATAAGCTAAAGAAATTGAAGTCTGATAATAGAGCGATTAAGGACCACAGCAGGCGGAGTGGCTCAAACACAACAATCTGTTACCATCCTGCCCACTTTGCACTGATGATCCCACCCACAGAATGGAGGAAACAAGTCTCAGTGGCCAATCGCCTACACCTGAGGAGAACCAATACGACGAGCTGAGTGGAGTTGCACTTATCAATGGCAAAGAAGCTTTAGTTTAACTGGGGACTGGATCTTTGGGATTAACCAGTCTTTGACGTAATGTATTTTGGGGTTTAAAAGCCACTGGGACGTTATGTTTAGAAAATAAACGTCTCAGTTTCTCTGATACTCCCTCAACATACGGGATGACCACTGGTCTGGTGTGTAAGAAACACAAACAGGACTCCAGCCAGCCGTCGGGTGAAAAGGAGGACCCCAGACCAAGACCACACTGAGTTTGTCTACGAATATAAAAAAACTTAAATTTATATTAAAAAAACAGTTCCTCTCGTTCTTTTATTGTTTTTCACTGTAAGTGAAGTATGTTGAATGGAGGTGTAAGAAACCTTGATCAGACACATGAGTACAATCCTTTAAAACAACAACCCCCTCCTAATGTTTAAATTTCAAATTGTATATTACAGTAATTCTAAGAACTTATTAAAGGGCCTCCGATAACTCGTGTGATCCCTTACTACACAGATCACACAGCCAACATTTTTTATAAGACTTGCATATTTTATAGTTATTGTAAAGGTATGTAAATTGCATTGTGCTCTCTGTTCCAAATGAAAATGAGAATGGAAACATTAGACCCTATTTCAGCTGCTTAAGTGGCTAAATGTACCTCAGCGGAAGTTACCTCTGTCTGTCAGAGAGAAGGATGATGTACACTGAAAACACATTCCCTTCCTTCTGGCACTTCCATCTATCACCAGTTTATGGTCGCTCTCCCCACGCTGGCACATTTCTGCCATGACATCCATCTATTTCACCGTTCTGACGTGCATATCCAGAGGCATGTCTTGTTTCTCTGCTCCTCAAACGTTCAGAAGATATCTTTATGCTTTTCCCTTTTTTTTTCCATTTAGAAGCTGCAGCTTTTTGTAAACAAGTAGAAGGAATTAAAATCAGGAACTCCATAACATTTTTATACTTAAACTCTTTGATTTAGACGAAAAATGCAAACATGGAGTTTTGTGGTGACCATTAAAATCTGCTGAATAAAAGGAAATATGTGCATTTGTATTCATACATGACGAAGACTCATGTCCTCTTTGTGCACGCTTTAATTTCAGAGTTTGGATGCAGGTTCTAGCCTTTTCTCTGTGTGT